CATTAAATTGAATAATAATATACCAAATACAAATAATTTCTATTTTCTAAAAATAAATAATTAATAATAAAAAAAATATGATTGCGTAATGGATTGTACACTGTCAGATCGTTCAACATTTGCAACCTTTGGAAAAAGAAATAAATATATTAATATAATCACAGATACCTTTTAATAATAGTAGTAACATCAGTGCTTGTAATCATCTTCAAATAATTGTCATATTCTGGTAAATTGATATGATTAACTCAAAATTTTACATATGTTATTTAATTACATTAATATATAAATGTATAAATAAAACCATTAATAATCATTAATAAAATTTTCTTTTCTTTTAACCTTATATATATTACATATTAATAACAGGTTAAATATACTGATGAAATGTTTGAGTTATCAACCTGTCACTCATTCATCAAGAATCTTGTTATTAAAATTAATAAAATTAATTAATAGTATCATGAAATATAATTATAAATTAATTTGTGGATATAAATAAAGTCTATGCCAAATTTTGTATGTGTGTGTGTATATATATTATTTCTTTACCTGCTTATCATTCATTCATTATTATAATTGTTTTCATTATTACTTGTAAATAATTTTAAGATGATTGGAGCTATAAAAATATGAATAAATTATGTTACATCATTAATTTTGTAAAAGCATACTTTGAATAAATATTTAACAAATAGTTTTAAACGATCTTTACTTTATTCCCTAATGCATTTAACATATTTATCTCAAATGATTCTCTGAATATTTCTCAGTGCAGCAAATAAGCAGTGTGCAATTGATCTTGATGTTTACTACTAAAATTCAAAGAGAGAAAAAAAAACTTAAAATTTAAACTCCCAGCACTTAAATTTCTTTAAATTTATGTAAATGCTTACTTTGAACAAATTAATAGGTTTTTGTAAATTTTTAGTAGATTATGAAAAAGCAAGTTCAATATTATTATTTAAAAAACAAAGAAGATTTTCAAAAGGCAGCAAAGTATCACGTAACTTGTTTGCCACACATATAAATTGATCAACAAAGGAGTTCCAATTTTTCTAGATTCGATTTCCAAATTTGGTAATAATCCTGACTGTAATGCAATAGTAAGTTCTAATTTCCAAGCTTTAAATATTTATTTTAGAATTTGTTTATAGAAAAGTATTAATTTTTTTTTTATAATGAAACATTCTACCTCAGCAAATTTATTAACTTGATGATATTTATTTAATATTTTCAAACAAAAATGAATTTGTGTAATGGACTTCTTTCAAGGATGGCTATTAACAAAATGTCAGTTAAAGAAAAGAAAGATTTGTTGATTTTTGATTAAAGTTTCATTGATGTTTATTAACTGTTTTAATTATACATATATAAATAATATGTCACTTCGTAAGCTTAATAGATCTTGCTCAATCAACTATATAACTATGAATAATTGATAAAACATTCATCAAGTATAACAATTTAGAAGGACTTTTATTTACATATTTAATAAATAATATTATTAATTAGCACAGATTATACTTGTAAAAACTAAGGTTTGTTTGTTATATTCACTCTCATTAATTCCAATGTATATAAGATCTAGATGATTGTGTAACAATTTTATATATTAATAATAAGCACATATTATACTTGTAAAAAAACAAGATTTGTTTTTATATACAAGCTAGTAATAAGCCACTTAACTTTTAAGCATTTCTATTATAATGCTATGATAGTTTCATTTCATCAATTACATCAGGAAAATGGGTACAAATATTATGCGTATATAATACACAATTGCAGGGATTAAGCATATAATATGCATACA